CTCCACCTTTAAGTTCTTCTTAGTCTCCGATTGCATACACTGTCTCTGCCCCGACTCTTGATCCTGACTTGGCTTCCTTGAGTGCTCAAATTAGCCAGCTTCAGCATATACTGTCTACCTCCCAGCCATTCCCGTTTGCTTCAGTTGTTTCCTCTCTTCATTCAGGTTTGTTTGGGTCTTCTTTAGGTATTTCTTCGTCTGTCTGGCTTTTTGACTCTGGTGCCTCTCATCATATGACTCATCATCTCTTTTTACTTCAAAATTGTACTCCCACTCCCTTTCCTATTACTGTTAATGCTGCTAATGGGTCTGGTATGTCAGTTATATCTGTTGGGTCTGTCTTACCATTTGCTATGTCTGCAGTCTTTATTCCGTCTGTCTTATATGTTCCTCAGTTATCTGTCAGTTTATTATCTATTAGTCAACTTGATACCTCTGGTTTTGACGTTATCTTTTCTTCTTCTATCTGTTCTGTGCAGGATCGGATGTCCAAGCAGCAGATTGGAACTGGCCGTAGAGTTGGAGACCTTTATGTGGTGAAGAGCTTGCATCTGCCTATGACTACCTCTCCAACTGCCTTTTCTTCTTTTCAGTTAGATTCTCTGTCCAGTCCTTTCTATTTGTGGCATTCCATATTAGGGCATTTGTCTGCTGACCACTTACGGTCTTTAGCTCAGTCAGGTATATTGGGTAAAGTTTTTCCTAGTCAACTTACCGAGTGTCAGGGGTGTAAACTTGCCAAAATGACAACCTTACCTTTCCGTAACAGTACTTCTATATCTGCTACACCGTTTCCTTTAGTTCATACTGATGTCTGGGGTCCTTCTCCTATTCTCACCAAGGGGGGTTCTACATACTATGTGTCATTTGTTGATGATTGCACCTGTTACACTTGGGTTTATCTTATGACTTATAAGTCCGATTTCTATCAGATATACCGTACCTTTCAGTCTATGATTACTACTCAGTTTAGGTCTACTATTAAAGTGTTACGGTCTGACTTAGGTGGGGAATATTTTAAAAATAAGTTTTGTGAGTATTTGGCCAATTTGGGTACCATTTATCAAACTTCCTGTACAGATACACTTGCCCAAAATAGTTGAGCCGAGCGTAAACACCGTCATCTCCTTAAGACAACTAGGTCTCTTCTTCTCTCTGCCTCAGTTCCGGCTCCATTTTGGGGGGAGGCAATTCTTACTGCTGCTTTTCCTCTCAACCTCATGCCTACTCCCCTTCTTTTTGGTCGGTCTCCTTATAAGGCTTTGTTCTCCCAAATTCCTAACTACTCCATTCTTCGTATGTTTGGGTCTGCCTATTTTGTCCTTCTTCCCCGTAAAGATAGGACCAAACTTAATGCTCGGTCTGTCCTCTGTGTCTTTTTGGGTTACAGTCTTACTCAAAAATGCTACCGCTGTTACGATCCTGTCTCTCGTCGCCTTTATGTCTCCCGTCATGTTGCCTTTCTCGAACGTCAGTCTTACTTTCAGCTTCCCCCTCTCACTGCTCCAGTTTCCAAAGATGATTTAGTTCACATTGACCCATTTCCTTCTGAGGTCCCGTCTGATGAGTGCATCTCCACTGTTCCTGTTGAGCCCATTCGTACTTCTCCGTCTGCGTCACCTATGGCTCCTTCTCCTCCTTCAGCTTCTTTTCCCCTTCCGTTGTTGGTCTATTCTCGTCGTCATGCTCTCTCACCACCAGTTGTCTCTACTCCTGTTGTTGCTCCTTCTGTTTCTGATGACTCTGATCCTGTTACACACCGATATCCTACTCGTGAGCGTCGTCCTCCAAACAGATTGGGTTGGTCTAATACATGTTTTTTTGCTTCCTATCATACTTTTTTGTCTGTTATTCATTCTTTTTCAGAACCACAATCTTACACGGAGGCCTGTCAAGATCCTAATTGGGTTCAAGCTATGGAGGATGAGTTGTTTGCCTTATAGAAGACTAGCACTTGGGAGTTAGTTCCTTTGCCTGCTGGCAAGAATCTCGTCGGTTGCAAATGGGTCTATAAAGTCAAAACTCATTCTGATGATTCTCTCAAGCGCTACAAAGCTCATTTGATTGCCAAGGGTTTCTCATAGGAGTATGGTATTGATTATGAGGAGACCTTTGCACCTGTTGCCAAGATGACTACTGTCCGTACCTTGATTTCTGTTGCTGCTGTTCGACATTGGCCTCTCTATCAAATAGACGTTAAGAATGCTTTTTTTAATGGTTATCTCACTGAGGAGGTCTACATGCGTCCTCCCCCTAGTCTTTCCCATTCCTCTAGCCAAGTTTGTCATCTTCGGCGTGCTCTGTATGGTCTGAAGCAGTCTCCTCGCACTTGGTATGATCGCTTTCAGACTGCTGTTACCGAGCATGGGTTTCATTCTTCTGCTTCCAACTCTGCTTTATTTCTGAGACATACATCGGCTGGTTTTGTTGCTCTCTTACTCTATGTAGATGATATGATCATCACTGGCTCTGACTCTTTTGCTATTTCTGAGGTCAAGCAGCATCTCTTCTGCACCTTCGAAATGAAAGATCTGGGTCCGTTACGGTATTTTCTTGGTATTGAGGTTGCTTCTTCTCCAAAGGGCTATTTTCTGTCTCAGGCTAAGTATGCTAATGAAGTCATTCACCGTGCTGGTCTTACCGATACTAAGGTTTCTGATACACCTATTGAGCTTAATGTGAAGCTTAATTCTACTGATGGTGTCCCTCTGGATGATCCTACTTTATATCGCGAGCTTGTGGGTTGTTTAGTTTATCTGACTGTCACTCGTCCTGATCTTGCTTATGTTGTTCATGTGGTTAGTCAGTTCGTTTCTGTTCCTCGCTCTACCCATTGGGCTGCTTTGGTTCGCATTCTTCGCTATCTCAGGGGTACCATATTTCAAGGCTTACTATTGTCCTCTACTATGGCCTATGCTGACTCTGATTGGGCTAGTGATGTTACTGATCGCAAGTCTACATCTGGTTTCTGTATGTTTCTTGGTGATTCCTTGATCTCTTGGAAGAGTAAGAAACAATCATTCGTTGCTCGCTCTACTTCCGAAGCTGAGTATCGTGCTATGGCTCATGCCACTGCTGAGATTGTTTGGCTTCGTTGTCTTTTGTCTGATTTGGGTGTCTCTCAGTCTTCTCTGACCTCTCTCTATTGTGACAACCGCAGTGCTGTTCAGATTGCCCACAATACTGTCTTCCATGAGCGGACAAAACACATTGAGATTGATTGTCACTTTATTTGCCAACATCTGCAGTCTGCCTCTATCTCGCTTCCTTTCATCCCTTCAGCTTTGCAACTTGCAGACTTCTTCACCAAGACTCACACTACTGCTCGGTTTCAGTTTCTTCTTAGCAAACTCTCCGTGTTTTCTGCTAAAACACCTTAAATTTGAGCGGGGGTGTGAGAATATATTGTGAAATATATTGTAAGTCTTACAAATTAACTTAGAGTCCTATTAGAGGCATGATTGTATTAGAGTCCTATTAGACTCATGATCGTATTGTATTTGTATTTCCTTTTTGGTTTAGGAGTTAGGGCTATATATATTCTAAGGTCTGATTGTAATGAATACACAATTGAATATACAGAGCAAGGTTTCTGGAATCTTACAGGAATGTGTGTCGGTTAATCTGATTTTTCTTGATTTCAACTACATAGCTTCCAGATATATAACTTCAATACCTTTTCTACAGCAGCTCAAAATTGAGAACGCGAGTTCCCATATGTTCTCCAAGACTGCTTCTAATATCGCCTGTTTGCAATGCCGTCAAATGGAGAGCTGTAATAATCAGAAGGTCCTCTAGAACCTCTACTTCCATTGCTCTCCTTTTAGGCATCCCTCAATTCCTCCTGAAGATCATACTGTGAACGCTGCAAATCAAAAATGGTAATTAATATCCAGCAATAGCAACTCATAAAGAACAGAAACAAATCAAGAGATGGTGTCATAACTACATTTATTAGACTCAACACAATGATCGTGACAACCTTTTGTTACAAGGAACAAATTGCAGATAAGCCTCAAACTGAAGAATGCATTTTGAACCAAGCTAAAGAAAACAGTCTTTTAGGCCTAGCAGAAATCATTTTTGTGCTGCAGCTAGTCGGTTTTAGATACTGCATTGGCTGGTGTTTTAATGAGGCAATGCCCCCTACAAGACAAGTATTAGAAAAATTGATCAAAATGCAGAAATTATCATTTATTTTTATCCTTCTGATTTGAAGAATTCCTTTGCTATTCCATAGAAATTTCCTGTTAAGAAATTAACATTAGGCAGTCCAATCTACAAAATCATTGTGTCATAACCATTCTTTCTACCATAAGAATGCTTACCGGGAAACATTTATCCCCAGATCCCATCTATTATTCATGAGTCAACTGTATAGCATGGAGGTATTAAAGCATTGAGTAGTCAGATTAGCGTTTATACTTCATGTATGTTATATCTGATGGTGTGTCAGATTCTTGAGATTGAAAGGGAACGAATGGAGTAGGCAATGATCCAATTATTTCAGTTTGAAACTGTCTCGTGGACTTGTAGTTTATATGAATTTATATATTTAAGACAAGTCAATAGAATGAAAGACCAAAACATGTAGATCAAAATCAATACACATGATTAGGAAAGAACACAATAAGCAAATCAGTTTAAGAACAAAATATGCGCAAAAAATTCCAGGTTCCCAACCCACATCTCGCAGAAAACCTCATCAAGTTAAATGTATCTTGCTAATAGCATACCTTGTTTGGATCTTAAAGTACAGAATATGCCTCTCAGATCATTTTAAAAAGTCTGTCAGCATCGTTGTGAACCTCACCAGCTATTTCCTTCCAGAGTTCTCCATCATCTCCACTCTTACTTCTTGCCAGGAATTGACCAGCCCATATTCGAATAAACTCATCAAAAAGAATGACAAGGATGACAGAGCGATAATAAATAACTCAAGAAATTTAAAGACCTTGTCTGGATGATGTCTCAATGCTGCTTTCCAGTATGCCTTTTTGATCTTGGATCCTGCATCAGATGGTTTAATTCCCCTGTAACAAGGAATGACCTTAGAAGCTTCCAATACAGAGTTATTACGTCACAATCACAATGGTAGACTCAACAACTTCAATCTCACAAAGTAACATGACAAATCCACTTGGATACAACAGGAAGAATCATCAGAGTAAGGGTTGAAAGAGACAGCAACATTCTAGATGGATATATAGTAGAAAGTTAATTCCAGTTTTCAGTTGTCTGTTCTAATTGTATGTGCTCATGCTTCTAGAAGAAAAATGAACTACTTGTCAAATTCACATGCAGTACATATAGTTGCATATTTTAGCCCCTTTTTTTTTTGGTAAGTAAAAGATTGTTAACTAATAGTGCCAATAGGGGCACAAGTTACCACTAATACATAGTACATGATATATATTGTACAAAAAGAAACTGTTATCATATGCAGATAACTGAATATAGGAATTAGAAAAAATTAAATTTAGGACTAGCCGCTGCTGGCCCAGCTAGAATTAAATTTGTACACCTGACACTAAGCCAAAAAACAAATTACATTACTAGACTCTAGTTTTTGGTTCATTAAAAAACTTAGAAATGGTTCATCAAACATCATTTGCTACTAACACACGTTAAAATATGATCTGAAAATGAATGAAAAGATAAACTTAAATAATGGGGCAGAATGAGGAACTTTTCAGCCTGATTCCAAAATACTAAAATTCATCAAAATGTGCGTGAAAATCAAATATGAAAAATGTAGATACATCAGGCACAACTTATTGGAAACTACAGAAAACAATACAAAATTATGAAATGTATCAATATGCAATCAAAATTTATATAATAAATGAGTTTCATAACAGAAATCCAAGTCCATGGAAATAAAATATGTCATAGGAAACACAAATGCAGAGGACTTACAAAACGAGGTAATGATCCAAGGAGATTCCTTTTTTATCCTTTTCTTCCACTGAGGATACGTGGCGACGAGCTTGTCTCAATTCTTAACATTGCCGCCAGTTGGTCAGCCTGGTGAGCCACACCGTTGAACCTTGTCTTGTGATTGCTTTTCAAGAAGAGAGGTTAGTCTATGAAGGTCACTGGCTGATTGTTCCTACAAAATGGAGTCTTGAGGAGAGCTACTCCCAGATTCGACACATAGCATTCATCCCTCAGATTTGAAGTCTTACTACCTTTTGATCAAACGGCCAAGGGTTAATGTAGAATAATGACTTCCATTTCTTGGGGGATACACTAGAGATGCTTCGGCAAGGTGGCTATCACGGGACACTTGGCAGTTTAAGAGCTAACCTAGCATTCCACTAATCAAAGTGGTTGAGGAGAATCAGCCGGCTGTTCCTAACAATTAGGAGATTCCCATTGCAATATAAAGCCATTCGAAAATGGAAGAAAGGACATCTAATCCAACTCAAATCAAATATTTAGCAAGACATCCGTGTCAAAATTTAGCCTAGTTTAGTTCAAGGCATCCGTGCCAAACAATATCCATGTCGAATTTAGTTGTAGTTTTGGCTAAAGTAAGATTTGGTGTAAAGTAAAATTTGCCCTATCGCAATATTTCATTATGCCCTCAGAATCTCTTAAACTAATGAATTTCATATATCTGAAATTATATCAATTAAAAATAAAATATTAAACAATCTCCAAGTTGGGTTTAGAAGCTTTTTTATCTTGTCAAAGGTTTTATCTCCGTTACTTTTTTGCGAGGTATGTAACAATGTAATGGAGCTCCGGAATCTGATATACAGTGCTTGCTGGATTTTTATGTAGCCTTTTGAGGTTGGAAATTATGTGGATTTCAAGATTGGGAGACTATCTAAAGAATAGAGGAACAATGTGTGATTTTGACCCTTATGTGTGGATCCTACTCCATATAAGAGAGTAGTATCTGATTCTGTGATAAGATTCTGTGCACATAGAAGACCTGTTCATTGTGGTTTTTCGGCTTCCAAATGCCACTTCTTCCCGTCACATCTGTCTTCAGAACGATCTAGTCACAGGGTTTCACTTCTCAGTGAGTGAAAGATTTGTCCCCAGGTGTACGTTGAAAGCTTCTATAGTAGAAGTCATTCGAGAGGGCTTGGCCACACTCTAATAAGTTCCCATCCCATCTTTTTTTTCATTAAACAATAATGGACTTGGCTTCGTGCACTCCACAATCATTGAATCTGGATTCGGAAGTGGCTGCACTCTGTAAAAGTAACAGCAAGACGGTAAATAACGAAAAAGCTCGCCTTGGAAGAGTCAAGGAATTAACTACATTTGACTGACTATACTTCTCTTTGTCCCTCACCAGGTGAGCCTAAGCGACAGAAATGCAGTAAAATTTGGTGGGTGTGACGTGGCAGAATTTGCTGTTAACTACCTTTTAATGCCAGGTGTAATATTAGTTACAACAGGATAATTAGTGTAATGTCAGTTACGCTAAGGAGGCAGAGATGGACAACTCAAAGCCATTAGGAACATTTACTAAAAAGCCATAGCTATATAACAACAATAATGAGAAACACAATGTTTAGAAAGGAATTCCACAAGAACATTACATATACAACATACCCAACAAAACAACATTAATAGCAGAATCCTAAATGCAGTTAAGTTCATACCCAACAAAACAACATTAATAGCAGAATCCTAAATGCAGCTAGGTTCAAGGGCTTCTGACGCAGATAACAGCTCCTTCCTCCTCCCTTTTAGAGACAAGCCATTCATCTGTTGGTTTTCCATCGAACACCTGTCACTTCACGCTTCGTGGTTCTCTTACTGATATGAAATTTCCATTACATGCACTAAGACAATGTTAAGAAGCCCATCAGAAGCAGCAGTTAATGCTAGAAAGAATAAAAATACAAGCAATACTTTCGAGTGCAACGAAATTGACTCACTTGGGAGAGCCACAAACTCATAAAATCTTGTACCCTTGAATTTATTGAAGCCTCCTAAGGCCCATAACGTCCTCCCACCCTGCCAAGTCAAGATTTGGACAATTACTAATCTCAAGATTCCTCAACTTGGGTAGGTTCTTCATGGTACTTGGCAGAGAGGTCAATTTGGGACAAGCTGCAATAGTCACTGTTTTGAGTTTGACGAGGAGTCGCATTCCTTTAGGCAAAGATTTAAGGTTTCCACATCCTGTAATCCGAAAGGATTGGAGAGAGGTCAAGCGTTGGATTTGTCTCTCTGGCAAACAACTTTGTTGTGTGGTTAAGTACAAATGCCTAAGACAGATTAAGTTCCCTATGTTTTTGGGTAACTTTCGAATTTTCACACAATACCAGATTCTCAAAGTTTGCAAATTGAACAGTTTGCAAATGGCATTAGGCAGTGTCTCGATATTTGCATTCCCACTGATGTCAAAAAATCTCAAATGCTTCAAATTACCAATGGAATGTGGCAATACCTGAAAACATGAGCAACTCAAATCAAGCACATACAGATACTTGAACTTTGAGATGCATCTGTTAACAAAGCCTGTGTCACTAGCTCCGAGTCCTTGAAATGGAAAGAAAACAGTCCTCAGATTCTTTCGTTCGAACAATGCCTTTGTGACTTCTTCCCCTGAACAATCAAAATCATGAAATGATACATGCTTAACCTTATCAGAAATCGGCCCAAAACGATAATTTGTTGTAATTAAGCATTCTTCATTTGCCATATATACTGCAAGATCATGAATGATCTCAGGCATTCTACACGTGTTTGATAGATTGCCATGTTGTTCTTCAGTCTTTTCTAAGAAAAATATGGAACATAACTGATTCAAATAATCAGTGCCAGTATCTTCCAACTCGCCAGTTAGGCCAGATGATTGAATGAGCCCCTGTGCCATCCACAACTGGATCAATTTATCAATTTCAATTTCATAGCTTTTTGGAAAAATTGAACAATATATGAAGCAGCGTTTCAACTCAGTTGATTGTGTGTCGTAGCTCGATCTTAACACGGCCAAAATGTCACGTTTCTTTTGTGGCAATTCCCATAGTTGTTTCTCTTTTAATTCTAACCATTTACTTTCATCAGTCTCCATAAACAAATTGTTGCCTAAAGTCTTTGCTGCACGAGGATATCCGTGGCACTTTTTCACAATTTCCTTTGCGATTTTTGAGAGCTTCGCATTCACATGTTTTTCCCCCAATTTTTCACGACAACCTGCCCACTTCCAAAGCACTTCAAGGCAATCCTTATCTGAAAGACTGTCTAAATTATGTGTGGGAACCGTGCCCACAATTGTAGCAACCCGTATGTAACGTGTAGTCACTATGATCTTACTTCCCATGATACAACCACATCTCAATAAGTCATACAACTTATGCCATTCTCGATTATCACAATCACATAAATTGTCCAAGACGAGTAAAAATTTCGTATTATGTAATTTTTCTTGAAGGAGATTCTTTAACTGATATGAATGGAGGCCAGCACAATGGGGGGAATCTGTTATGCGCTGAAAAATTTTTTGCATCACATCTTTAACATTAAGATATTGTTCTACCTTCACCCAAATCCTCAACTGAAAATGCTTGGCGACCATTTCATGATTGTACAGCAATCTAACGAGAGCTGTCTTACCAATACCTGCAATGCCAACAATGGGCAGGACAAACATGTTCTCATCATTGTTAACACGTGGGGCCATTATAAGGTGTAACAATTTTACTCTATCATCGAACCTTCCAACAAATTCCGACTCATTGACTTCAGAGGAGATTGATGAGCTGGCCGCGTTATGTTGTGATGTTGTGGCAATGGGATGAAACTTAGTCCTATTATCCGCGATCATGTCTAATCTCTTTCTGATATTTGCGATTCTACTACTCATTTTAAATTTAAATCGGAAATCAATTGTGCATGAGGATGAAAAGAAATTGCTTACCAGAAACGTCCTCGTCACTCGACTTCGTAAAACTTCGTAGTGAAATTCATCGACGAGGTTATCTGCATCATAGATAGCAGCTTGGAGTCTGTCAAACCATACCCCCATCGCAATTGAGTAATTAGGAAAACCGCCATGACCGTACAATCTCTCAGCATCTAAGAGCACAGCATTGATAGTGGACAAGGTGTCTTTTAGTGCGTTCAGCTCCTGCTCAACACCCCATGCCTTGCCAACTTCCCCGATTGGACCGGAGCCTATCATGCCCAGAATTTTACTTGCTAAGTTGAAAAGAATTGTTTCTACCATGTTCTAATTTCTTGATGATCAACAACAAGTTGAAGAAGAAGAAAGATTAACGGAACCTAAGGTGGGTTGGGTTTAGCTGAGAAATAACTCAAGACTCAAACTATTATCTGCATATTTGTTTTGCACTAGTAGTAGTTGGTGCCGTTGAATTGCAGGTGAGTGTTGCTGGGAAGTTTCTATTTTCACACCACACAAACTTTGTTTAATCGTTTCATATTTTCTCAATTCACACCGACACCTTTTCATAAGAAAAAAAACCCAAAATACCCTCACCTTCCCAACTTTCAAACCACCCTAACCTCTAGGTCACGTTGGTTTCGCCGTGTGAAGAAGTGGACTAGATTAAGATGGCCGTTGAGTCCATGATCATGGCTCAGTCTTGGAGCTCCTGGACTAACACTCCAGTGATATTCATAATATCCTTCAGTGATCGGATTAGTATAACTGTAGAAGAAGTGGGATTGAACAAATAATTCGGGATTAGAGTGTAACGAACGTTCGGCTGGTTGGCCAAAACAGTCGCTTTGTTTTTTTTTTTTTAAGGGTGCGGCCTGTTATTTCTGATTTTTTTTTAATATTTGTTTTAGATTTTTTTTTTGCATAAAAATATATATTTTTTTATTTTATATAAAAATAATTTAACAATTCTTTCACTAATAACTATCATCAAAACAGACACGCTTTTACTTAATCTCCTCATTAACAATTCTCACACTAACAATCTCCTCACTAACCATCCATTTACTAACAATCACATCCAATCTAATCCGTCAAACAAATATGGGCCTAATCTTTAACTCTATAACCACTATCACCGACGACGACTACTACCTCTCGTCACTGTCGCCTCCCTAGCATCCTCCTTTTTCTTCCCCAGTGACTGTTACCCAATCTCAATTAACAATTTTGAATGATGTCATACATATATTACAATTAATAATTCAAGTAATTTTATTGTTATATAGAAGAATAGTGAAAAGTTTTATTTTTTCTGTTAAATAATAAATTTTAACAAATGAGATATTTTTAATTTTCCGAACCACAAGAAAAAATTTGTATTTTAAACAAATCTTACTAGTATATTTATAATTTACCATTTTTTATTTGTTTATACAATAATGTGCAGCCCATCGTTAGATTTTTATTAAGGCAAATTACAGTGTTTTTCTTTAAATTTGAAAAAATACAATAATGTCATAATTTTGACGTAATTATATTTATATTTCTTTCAATAAGATTAAATAGATCGAACTTAATGTAGACAATGTGAAAACATAAAAATAAATAACATAAAATTTACAACTTCATTTTAAAAAGATGATAGTATCATTTTCTCATATATATATATATATATATATAACTAACAAATTATGAAAATTTCATAATAACTCAACATAATTATATTAAAACTGTAAAGTATATTGTATTTTTAAAAAATATCAAGGAAAATTGGTATAATTTAGACTTTTCTTCTTATTATTATTATTTGAGAAAAATATGCAATTGCTAGGTTATTGTCGACACATGGGTCCACAAGGTTTTTCACTTTCAGATTTTCTTGTGGGGCGGTTCAAGCTTATTGTAATTTTTAATTTTTTCTTTATTTATAACATTTTCTATTTAGGATAAATTATAATATTCACTTATAAAATTCAGAGAAAATATAATAAATTATATAATTTTAATATAATTACGTTAACTTTTATTATAATAAGGTCAAATAGATCAAAACTAATATAGATAGTGTAGAGTAAAACTGTTAAGGCTCTTTGTTTTTGCAGTTAGGTTGGATGTGATTATTAGTGTGAAGACTGTTAGTGAGGAGACTATTAGTGTAAGGGATTATTAGTGAAAGGAGTAAAAAAAATTATGTTTGTTTGTAATATATTTTGTGGGTGTTTGGAAAGTGACTATTTTAGATGTTTTTTGGCTATTTTAGTAAACTATTTTAATTTTTGTGTTTGGAAAGATGGGATGAATTTTTATTTGAGTTGGTGTATTGAAAAATGTGTTGAAATGATGTTTAAAATTAAAATGACAAATTTGTCCCTAATTTCACATTTTTCAAAATTAATTTAAAGGGGTAAAATTATAATTAACCAACCTGTCACAGTGACATTCCTACACTGTCACTGTGACAACCCATAGCCAGTCCTTTTCTTTTAATTTATTTTAAAAAAATCAATGGTCTAAAGGGGCTAAAAGACTTTTTTTTATTGTTGAGGCTAAAATAGCCTCTACCCACGCTTCCCAAACACCGCCTTTAGAAAGGGGATTAACTATATAAAATACCATAAATAGCCTTTAAAGTTTTTGCTATATTTTATAAATATTTTTTGTACTATATTATTTTCATATATATATATATAATGACATAATACTAACGAAAAAAAAAACACCCAAACAAATAAGGAGAATTGACCAGTAAATCTCATTTTGTGGACTTGTAATCCATAAGGTCCTAAATGTTTTCTTGGTGACTGGGTGGTCCTTTAATTTATTTGTTGATTATTTTGCCACTACTAGTATTATTGGTTGACAATTGGTGTGGGTTTGTATGGGGAAAGGTGAATGGGTGTTTATGTGTCACGTTGATCGATAAAACGCACTAATACCTTTTTAATTTATTAGTAGGTTTGTAACACGCGCAGAATGGGACGTCGGTTACGTTGTAAGTGTTGTTTCATGCATAATGTGAACACGCACAATAAGGCACACTGAACTAGTTTTCAAATTTCTCAGTACTCGACCCTTTTTTTTCGATTGCCATTGCCGTGGGTTTTGAAATTCAAATACTTGTGACTGAATCCCACAAACATGATTTGTGGGATTGTATTCGAAATAATTTTTAGATCAATGTGGTGTGGGTGTGTTGGGGTTGGGGTGATTCTTGTGGTGTGAGAAACCCACCAACCCAAAAAACGAACCCTTTTCATCTAAAAAACCCAACGTGATGGAATGTTTCCACACATTGGCAATCATCCCCATTTTGGAAAGATGAATCGGTGGTGCATGTTGACGTGAACCCTACCATTTGTTACGATTATCCCCTTTTCTAATTTGAATTTCAAATATTTGTGATTCCGAAACCCACATTATAGATTGAGGGAATATTTCACATAGTATTGGTGTAAATCAGAATTTCTGTGTTGTTCAATTTTGTTGAGTTCGTGGTCGTGAAGAACTCTAATGCCTTCCTAGAATAGTGGGTTTTGCACTGTGAACCCCGCCGATCAGATTTGAGCTTCATTGTCGTCGGCTGCAAAGTCTTAATCAGTGTTTGGAAAACGTAAGTTGTTCATTGTTGGGTTCACATTATAGATGGAATAAGTGGTGTGATTCTGAAACCCACGTTATAGATGGAGTGAGTGGGTTCACGTTATAGTTGTTCATTGTTGGGTTCACGTAAGTTGTTCATTATTGGGTTCATGCAATGTTGGTGTGATTCCGAAGCCTACGTTAAAGATGAAGTGAGTGGGGTTGACGTCAACTACAGCACTGTTGGACTACAACACAGAAAAATGGACTCAGAATGAAATCCCTACTTGGAAAACTTTATAAACAAATTTTCACCACTCCCACCCCACAAATCCTTACTGTATTGGCTTCCGCCAGGCCCTGTACTCTGTTTTACTGTATTACTGTTAAGCAGGCCTTCGGTAATCTCGGATTACTGGCCGGTTACGGTGCTAAACCCATAGGGCCGGGTTTGGGTCGTGACATTCACGTTATAGTTGTTCATTGTTGGGTTCACGTAAATTGTTCATTATTGGGTTCATGCAATGTTGGTGTGATTCCGAAACCTACGTTAACGATGGAGTGAGTGGGGTTGACATCAACTACAACACTGTTGGACTACAACACAGAAAAATGGACTCGGAATGAAATCCCTACTTGGAAAACTTTATAAACAAATTTTCACCACTCCCACCCCCACAAATCCTGGGATTACACATACCCAAAATAATACAAAACATCTCCATAAATTATGTAAGAACATACTCATCCACCATACAACTATCAACATTCAAAAAATGATTTGTCAGTAAGCAATTTTCACTCACATGGACTTGTCAATCAAACAAAACTTAGTGGAATCAAACGGAACACAATTTAACCATATAAAACTTTCGATAAATAATACTTTTAGACTTCTCTTCTTTCTCCTTTTGAGAAAAAACATGCAATCACTAGGATATTGTGTACACATGGGTCCACTCCACACGGTTTTTCACTTTCAGACTTTCTTGTGCGCCGGTTCAAGCTTATTGTAATTTTTAATGTTTTTTATTTATAACAATTTCTATTTAGGATAAATTATAATATTCACTTATAAAATTCAGAGAAAATATAATAAATTATATAATTTTAATATAATTATACTAACCTTTATTATAATAAGGTCAAATAAATCAAAACTAATATAGATAGTGTAGAGTAAAACTGTAAGGGCTCTTTTATTTTAGGAGTTAGGTTAGATGTGATTATTAGTGTAGGAACTATTAGTAAAAGGACTATTAGTGTGAGGAATTATTCGTGAGAGGACTAAAAAAATTGTATTTCTTTGTGATAAATTTTAGTGAAGGGATTAACTATATAAAATACCATAAATACCCTTTAATGTTTTTGATATAATTTATTATTACAAAAATATATTTTATAAATATTTTTTTATACTATATTATTTTAATATATATATATACACACATATATAATAACATAATACAAAAAAAAAACACACACACACACACACAAATACACAACACACAACATGGGCAAAAACAGTCTTTTTCTAAACTAATCATCTAACTAGTTTTGAAACCCAACGCTTGGAGGCCTCTAGTAATCCTCTCCTCCAAGGCTTATCATAATTTTAAGGCCCGTTGCTCGAGTCTTGACTTAAATGAGGCTTGTATTGAGGGGTTGGTATAAGTTTTCAAGTTATAATCTCTCATCTGAAACAGACAATAGGATACCTTGGTAATCTCGTCATGAGTGCTGCCTTGGACTTGCGAGAAGATGTGAGAATTTTTCTGTAACAAAATAATAATAATAATCCTAAGGGACTATGAATCCCTTTCCCTATTTTGTAAACAAACATCATTATAATGGGTTACACATCTATCCTAATCTAATCCCCTTCTCTATCACCCAAAACAAAGGAACCCTAAAGGATAATATAATTACACTCTTATACCGTTAATTTTTCTTTTATCTCCTAAACTATATGTGATCCAATTAAAAATGATTATACAAATCAATAAGCCAATTCAAAACGATTATCAAGAACGCTAAATAAAAAAATATTTTTTAGAATTTAAACAACTTAAATCATATCACAAAGCACTTATTTTTTTGTTATCTTGTACAAACTACACTCTGCGACTAATTTATATTACAAAAAATTAAGA